GTGTGTGTGTGTGTGTGTGTGTGTGTGCGTGCGTGCGTTCGTGCGTGCGTGCATGACAACTTCAAATATAATAATAATTATTATTATCATTAATACTCTGCGTTTCCCCACCAAAGGTTCACGAAGGAGCAGCACGACACCGGCAGCTCCCTCTGGTGGCGGACTCACGCCGCGCAGTGGCAGCACCGGTCCGTCGGTGGGTCTCGCTGGTCCGGGCCGCGTGGCGCGTGTGCCGCGGGGCGCAACGATGGAGCTAACATGCGTTGCTACTAACGTACACGCTCTCAACGTACGTATATATATATATATATACACGTAGCCAGTCACGCGTCGTTCATAGGCGTTCACTTGTCATGCATAGTCATGCCCGCTTCTTACACAGTACTTGGTGCATCCCTGCTCATTGAAATGCCGTTTTCAGTCATGTGCTGTCATTAATACGCCGGTCGTTATTTGTGTATCAAATCAAGAGATCAATTGCGTTTCGTTGGCAATGTCGAATCTTCACTCTCCTCGCGTAAACAGATCCTTCAAATTGGAATGGGTTAGTTCAATTCTTTCATTTGTATCTTGACACGTACATACACGTACGTATATTTGACACGTATCTTAGTATCTTAACGTTTTGTATTTAGTGCTTACTAGCTGTACTATTGCCGCAAGTACGCTTTTGGAGAGCATTGGCGTGTGTTGATGATTCATACGTGTACCCAGTCATTACTACTATTCCACTAATTAATGGGATAATTAATCATACAGTCATAATTAGAGCACGCATATCACAGTGAAACCATCGGAGTTTTTCGAACTATAAGGGTTTCATTCCCCGTAGTATATATTATCTCTAGTAGTATTTCACCCCTAGTGTTAGCGTTAACTGTGTTCTCCTGCTCGTAGATTCTGTGGCTGAGAACCATACCCGGGAACAAGACGCCCATGATGCTCACCATCAACGCCGACCGCATCATTGACGACGACAGGGTAGCCGTACAGGTGACGGGCGACGGTCGACGCCGCCAGGTGGTGCTCATCATCAAGGTGAGTGCCGTGAGCGCCATCTCTTGGCGGTAATGGCAATGATTTTTTTAATGTGTCAGGGTTATACGACGTCAAGAGTTTTGCGGTCGTAGAAATTTCCGTAGAAAGATGTGTGGCGCCCGTGTTTGTTTTTCAGTTGTCCAATAGATAAATTATGTATGCGTGCACGTGACTCTGCATTAAATTCTCATTGGCTATTCGACAAATTCCAATTCATTTCATCCAATCCCAACCATAATTCCAACCCCATTAATTTTCTGAGATTAAATATCTTCGTTCTTTATACAAATCTTATATCGGTTTTGATTAAGATTAAATTGACTATGTCACGAACTTTCTATGGTAAAATTTGTAAAATTTTTGTTGCCATTTTTTTTACATTAAAAGTAAGAACTAACGGGACTAAACGTATCGTCAAATTCTTACCTGATAAGATTGTTTCTAAACTAGTTAAAAATCCAAAAAACCTGGACGATTTGATATTAGTGTTCATAACATTAATTGCTTGCTATAAATGGCTATACTATGGGCTATGTATGCGTCACGAGTGTATGTTCACATCGAACAATATAGTAAAACAGGAAGTATAATGCAGCAATTTAACCATAAAAAGTGAACAGAATTACATATATTTTGTGAAAAAGTGGAAATTTATTTATTATTTTTATTTTTTACGGTGACGTAATCACTTT